GAGTACAGGTTAACATTAAGAGACCTGCAACATTAAGAGACCAACAGTGATGCTAGATACTGTAAATGATCATCCTGGGAGCCACACTGTCCAGTTTTGGAGCTGTAGGAAATACACATGCTGTCTTTCATTGTAAAGTCTCCTAAGGCCTTGATCAAGTCAGTCAACAAGCTGTGACTAAAATTAAATGCCAGTGGGTACCTACCATTTTTGTATCTATTTAGAAAAGCACAGAACAAAATACATAGATACAGGAGAGAGTTTCTGGGAAGCCTGTCTCTAGAAAACTGCACAGAACAGGTAATTCTATTTTTTTTTTCTGTTTAAAAATAGTAAAGACAGGAAGCCTTCTAATGGCATTATATATATATATATATATATATGCATGTTGCAGAATAGTGCTCAAACTCCCAAGTTTAATGTATTGTAACCTCTAGCTTGCTAAATGTTATTCAGCACCAGAAGAATTTGCCTCTTGCTTAGAGGCTAGAACTGAAGGAGGGCTTGTCTGTGTTTGTACTGTTCAGTTTTTAAGAAGCCATTTCTTCATAAGCTGACTAAAACTCTTCATATTGGCCTGCTCTTACCTGAGGAAGAAAATGACAGAACCTCAAATCAGTTTATACCGCTGGGATACCCTGTACACCAGGATGTTTAACCCTGAAAGAAACATGTAAAATGAAAGATTGGAGGTTGTCATATTTCCGTAAGCAAGGCTGGAAACCCACCCAGCTCTTCTCTGGCTGTATGGGTAGTGTAACTACTTTTCCTCTAAGACTGTAGAAATCTAGACTCCCCTATTTCCTCTGACATTTTTTGCATTTAAAAATTACCCCAGATAAACCTTAGGAAGAAATAGTTCAAGCTTTTCCTTTCTCCTCTCCTTTTACTTAGCATTCCACTCAACTTGATGTCTAAACAATCAGTTTTGCATATAAAAAGAATATAAAAAGTAAGTCTTTTCCAGAATAACCTAATCTTTCAATGGTAAAACAATCTAGAAATAGAATGCTTTTTTTTTTTTATAAAAAGTTTTTCATTCTGGAAAAAAGAGCACTGAGTAATAAATCCTGTAAAAAGTCTTGAGTCTGCTAATAACTGGCAAATATCTGATTGTGTTTTACATATGCTACCATGGAGATAAGATCTATTACACATTTAGTGCTACCATGTATTTCAAGGGATTTCCTTGGGACAAAGTAGTACTGCAAAATAAAATGTTGCATCTGCCCATCCAATTACTGTGTTCTCTTACACTTCTGAGCCAGCACGTTGCATTTGAATACCTTTGCTGTAACTAGCAGTGAAATGCATTGCTTCTGAGGCTATGTCCTGTGCTGCACATTCATTAAATGGGTGTATCTAATCTTTTAATCTGTGGTCTGTAATCTCGGGGTGGGGGGGGGGGAAAGCAAGGGGAGGGGGGGGGGGGGAAATCACGGTGGACAACTTTTCTGTAAACACAAAGAAGTGAACTGACTTAAGTGGTTTTAAATATTTTATTGTCGCGATTGTTAACAAAACACCTTCAAAACATTCTGTACATTTCAAACTATTTGAAACTGCAATACCCATTATATAAATGTACGTGTATAGATGCCATGATGTCTCTGTACAAAGATGTACAATATGTACAGTAACATTAAATGCAAGCTGTGCAAGGCAAAGTCTAGGTTACAGATTCATGCCACCAGTTCAAACAAGGCATAGAGCCACAGCTTCAATCAGTTCCTTGTGTGCAAATAAACAAATAAATGCAGGTATATATTAATATTAGAAAGGAGTAATTAGATTTGCAAGCTCAGTTCAGCTAGAACAACATGCAGCTGACTGGAAAGAAATACAGTACTACTCTTGTGAGCTTCTTCCACTGCATCACTTTGAAACATCTTTTCACGACTCAGCTGGTACTTTTCAGTTGAGCTGAGGTGAAGCCAGGAGACCGAAACTTTGGAAGATACAAACCAAATTTATTTTCTATACCAGCAAATGTAGCTGTAGCGAGTCTGTATCCACCTATGTGCTCAGGGTTAACAGGAGGAAGATCTGAAATTCGAGTTTTTGGGGTAGGTTCTGATCCAGAAGGTTTGCTGTTTGAAGAAAGAAAAAGAAAAAAAGCCTTTCCTTTATTTAAAGTGTTTTCTTAAGCCTGAATAACTTTATGAAATCTAGACTAAATACTTCAGGCTTTTGTCTGAGTATGGAAGACTATGAAAGCTGACCTTAATTAATTCACTTCTATGGTCAAGTAAAGTTGAGTTCAGATCACTACTTAATGGGAAATAAAGGCCAAAACTGAAGGTACATTTTTACTACTGATAGCTTTGTAAATTCTTTTAACTTCCAGTGACATGGGGAAAATGGACAAAGTATCTTGCCACCATGGAAATACAAACTAAAATAAATATGAAGTGGTTCTTTATCTCCTCATCTGTTTAGAAGTAGCATGCAAGTTTCTCTCAATTATATAAAGATGGTGGGATTTTTTGCATACTGCAATTTTAAGTACAGGTGCTCGAAGTCACTAAGTTTTAAGTGGTCCCATGCATGAAAAAAAGTAAGATTTTTTTTGTTTTTTCACTTAGCAGGTTCTTTGTGCAAGCTAAAAAGCAAATATTTGACTTACAGGCCTCCAAAATCAACATAAAACCATCTCTGCAGAAGTTCATAAGTGACCAAAGTAACGCCAAACTGGGGTGAAGATCTGAACACACGAGCTGTTAAACATTACAAATCACCGTGTCAAACAAAGAAAAGAATTTCTCAGGAGAGAAGCTAAACATTTTTAACAAGATGTTATGCTTTTCAGAATCAGACCTTGTAAATACTGCTCTAATTTGAGTCCTTAACAAACCAAGTGCTAATTTGTAGATTCGGGGGTCAGCCTTACTATTCAGAGTGCATTTCTCACCTCCAGCTCCCTTCCAAAAAGCCGAAGGGCCTTCTTCCCTTAGAATCTTTCCAAAGCAGTCAATAACTCCACTGTATGTTGTCTGACCAGCGCGAGCTGCCACTTGCAGTCTTGTCTTGATGACATCAGCAGGGGTTACCAAAGAAGCAGCAGGCACACCTTTTAGAAGAAAACCACATTTAATTTGCACAAGGAGTCTTGTAAAAGATGAAACACTTCTAACTGAAAAATACAACTGCAAACTTTAATGTTTTTTGCAAGGATTAGACATTACTAAAAATGCAAGTTCTTACACTTGATGCTAATATAAACTGTTGTGCTCGGTATTGTTTTGAGTTTATCCTGAATTTAAAGGCTATAACTGATAGTAAAGAAAATAATAAACTATCAACAGCAATCTTCTAGTGGTCTGTCATTAATAGTAGTTTCAAAAAGAAAAGAAGAGAGGCATTTTTAAATTCAGACGTATGTTATATATGTAATAAGAGATATCCATGATAAAAATTAATTGTGCAACCTTACTGTATTTGTTAATACTCTACAACATATTTTGCAAATTACATAGATGATTGATTTAGGAACTTGAATCCTACACATCCATTTGTTAAAGGTGTTAGTAAGAAAACTACTACTTAAAACACCTATTCTACAGAAATATGTCTGTACTGCTGTTCGGACTGTTCTGTAGGAGAAGAGATGCTGCTTACTTCAATAGGCAAGCCACAAAAAGACTGAGGACAATGAAGGTGTTTTACAAGACTGCTTAGTACCAACAGCATGATATTAGCCAACAGCGATGGAAGAACAAATCTCCAGTGCCAAGGCACCACTCTCAGCTTTCTAGTCAAAGGAAAGGAGAACATTTTCAGAAATGTACTCCACAGTATGTAACTGTGTTATCTGAGATATTACTGAATACTTCTGAATACCGTAAAAATGTCATCCTCTTAAAAAGAAAGAGGAACCATCTTCTGACTTAGAATTTTGAAAATCATTTTGACTTCTGTTGAACTTTTACAATTGGTTAATATTGAACTAAAAATTTAATGAGTCACTGATTTGCATAGGTGATCGTAAACTCTGTTACTGATCAGTTCAGGAGGTTTTAAAGGAAAACAGAAGCAATGTAGTTAAGCCTACAAGCATACACTAATAGCAACCACATGCAGATTTTCCTTTACAGTAGGTTCAGACTGTATTCTTCCCTGCTGCGCATGCGTAACAGGAACAGATCGAGCAATCAGGAATTTGAAAGCTGCAGTTCAGAAAGGCAGATTCCTGTACACGCTACAAAACCAGGCCTACAAGATTTACACACATTTTCAATAGGGTTCATCACTTCGTATGAGTGACCCAGAAACACTAATCGAACAAATGAAGAGAAGCTGTGACATTTGCAATCTAAAAATAAAACCAGGGTGTCCTTATATGAGATACAAGTTAAATAATACTATTGATACATGCTTCTATGAGTACAGTAAGCTAAATAATTATTCTCAAGTAACGCAGAGCTACCAGAAATGAAAAAAAGACTACAAATCTGTTACGAGTTTCCTAGCTGGTCTCTCCCTTCCCTCTGGCAAAGAGCAGGTGCAGCCAAGCTCTGTATCAAGTCCAATACGGGACACTGTTCTTTACAGACAGGCGGCTCATGACTGATAAATATGTAGTGATTCCTTACGACTGACAAGTAACAAAAGGTCTGTTCAGCCCAGCGATGTTTCCAAACTGCACAGATTCCAACACTGAATCGTTCACAATTGACAGGCTGCAGATACCTGGTTTTCATCCGAGTGATCTAATCCTTCGCAGTGCTGAATCTGGCCATCTGTATCTGTATTTTTAAATATCCACCACTACAGTTCCTACTTTATACCACTTGCCATTTAGTAAAAACCACTTGTTATCATCACATCTGTGTATTCTCTTTATACTAAACATTTTTGAGAAGGCTTAAAATATTTTGAATTTCAGAGTATGATACTTTAACTTCAGCTTCTTTACAAACTAACGCCCTATTTTTAGCGATTACATTTGAACAAAGTTTCTTCTCAGTTATTCAGGAATCCAAAACTAGGTAAGTCATTTTCTTCTTAGCTCTTATGATCTCTCATTTTATGTTCATCAAAGATTCAAATTAGCCTTCAACTCTGAGAGCACAGTAACAAGTAAAACCCCATTGAGACAGACAGATCAAATTTGACTACAAGTTGCTGAGCTGCATTATGCTGTTTATCCACATTATGCAAATGTAATTAGCTCTCATCAAAATTACATCGCCTCCCACTAAGGATAACAGTGATCAAATTTAGATTAAATCAGATACAATGGTACAGTACCCTTCCTTTATATGGGACTACTGAATGAATATTAAATATTACTCACTAAAAGAAAAAAAAAAATTACTTCTAGAAAACATTCTGCAAAATTACCTGCAATGGCTCCAGCTATAAGGAGATTAAGCCCTCCCACATGGCCATTTTCATCAGCAAGCATCAGTTTACTATGAGCATAAACAGGAAAGTAGATTGCAGAAAAGGGAATGTCTCTGAGGAAACATGCTTTGGCACCCTGTCACACAGAAAAGAAACATAATACAAATGAATTTTGTAAATAAGGTTAAAATTGAGACCCAGCAAGCAGCTTGAGCCCAGGAAGTACCAATTCTTTCCACCTACCAGGTAAATAACACAGAACATAAAATGTCTCAGGAAACAGAAGATGTAGGGTTGAACTTGAAAAAAGAATAAAGCACATCTAAAGTAAGTTTCTAGAAGGAAGATTCGAGGTTCATGTCTAATTTCGGTAAGCGAAATGTGACATCAATCCTGACATCAGTACCTAGGATAAGTAACTTTTACATATGATGTGTCCAAATTCAATGAAGAAAGTAACAAAGGTCCGTCCTTATGTCTTGCTGACAACAACCCACCACCACGGAAGCAGCAAGACAAGTCCCTGCATGCCATTTTTGACACCAAACACAAAAGCACTACTAACACATGAGCAAGGACTGCAAGACCTCATACTGATCTCCACTGATCATCAGCTGGTTGACTGAAGAAGCTGCACTGGAAGCTGAGCATAAAGAGGGAAACCACCACAAAATGCGAGCTGTTTAGTAAGGGGAAGATACAGGGAGACAATCTAGTAGCCTGTGATAATACTGCAAGGAGTAGTCCCTGGCCACAAACATGCATTAAAGAGTTCCTTAACAGAACTTTGCATGCTGTAAAAATAGTGAAGTACTCGTAACAAAACATATCTAATCTTCTTTTACTAACTTCAGTCATCGGTCTGTTACCAACTAAAATAACTCCTTCTGTACAAAGTTCAAATAAGCCCTTCTATGTCCAAAAAATCTCATGTGCATACCCTGAAAGCATGCACATCACAAAACCACCACTCTGCCCCAATACCCAGCTGCTATACTCCAAGCCAGCAGTCTCCACACAAGGCACCTACCTGAGGCCAGTCACCCAGTAGTTTTATTAACAGACAGTACACATTACAAACCTACGTGGCTTAAGCAGACTTGATAGAGAGAAACTCATTCCTTCAATTATTTTCATGCAGATACTTTATGCTCTAAAATGAGTTCTTACAGTTATTCACAAATGATAATGCAATTCTAAAGAGCAGCAGAATTTTTAGTAAGCTCGATTGTTTAATTACTGCGAACAGAAATGGTAATTTTGTCCCATGTACGAGAACACTTGTGATCTTTAGGAAATGTAATGGTCAGGAATCTCATCTACCAAATTCAAAACAAAAGCTTCAGCTCTAAAAGTAAATTTGCACATTTTTATAGTATTATTGCAGGTCTATGGGCAAATCATGTAAAACAATGTTTTGTAAGTGCACAGCTAATACAGCTGCTGAATTTACGCATTACCCCTTGCACCGGCAGAAGATACAGGAAGAAATACTCTTCCTTGTTTAAGAAAACTAATAGCTTCTGCTCCATTACATCTGATCTGTAATGACGGTAGTAAGTATACCTGCAGGGAAGGAATCTGTTGACTGGCATTCTGCTGAAGTATAGCATAGTACCGGCTTTTTTTTAGTGGAATTTGTTATTGACAAATCCCACCACTTAACTTCTTAAAAATCTGAATCCTACTAAACTCCACTACTGTTTCACTGCTATCAAACTATTAAGACAAAGAGAATATCCTGCTGTAAAGATAACAATAGAGATAACAGACATTCAAAATAAACATAAGAAAAATACACAGGGAAAGCTAAAGAAACTTTTCACAAAACCCCACCAAATGAAAAGATCAGTGCCAGAAGCCAGCAGGTCTGCAATACAGGACTCCCTGGAGCTTAGCATAAAAGCCCAAAGGATAGAATGGGGGAGTATTTTTTTGTATCCCACTGCCATTAATATAGAAGTGGGTTTTCTTCAGTTTTCCACTGTGGGGCTGCCCTGCAGGAAGAGATTGGTTTTAAATTCAAAAGATGTCTTTGTTTTTAACAGTTTTTCTTTCAACAATGTAAAAGTTTAGCATAAAACATAAAACGATGAAACCACTCAAAGCAGAAATACATACCTTATAAAGACCGAGAAGGCCTAAATCTTTTATAACAGAGAGGGCACTGACTCTGGGTCCTGTAGTAATTTCTCCTGCTACCTGCAACCGAATCTTTACAATCTCCAGGGGATTAGTGAAGATGACCTGGGAAGCTCCTGCCTGCAAACCCAAAGAAAAAGAAAGTAAATTGCATTACTAGAGCACATGTCAACAGATGAATTTTTGCAAGGTGCTGAGTGCCTTCACTCCTCACTGCACTGGCTGATATTCTCATGTGAAAATATGAGAGGTATTCAATAAAGCACCTGTATGGAAGTTAACAGCCCCGAATCAGAAATCATGGGTTTGTACAAAATAAATTTCTACATTTATATGTTTATAGTCCTCAGAGGTGGATTAATTCAGTTTGTCTCTGCTTTTCTCCTTGACGTCACTTTCTAGAAGTCATGGCTGTGTTTAAAAGTTTATCAGATATTACACAAAATACTAAACTAAAATAATCATTAGACTTGTGCTACTAGAGCATCAAATGCATATAAAGAAGATCTTCTGTTTATTCAGTAATAATCCGTTACCAATTTGCATTTAGTGGTAATGCTGTTTAAAAGGTAAATTTGCATTTAATGGGGCAATTTTAAATTACTAGAAAAGGTGTCTGGAGTTTTGTTTAGCAGCCTTTAATTGTCCTAAGTGGAAACAAAATATAAAATTTAAATAGGAAGAGTAACATTTCAAAATATGATACCAGATAGAAACAGGAGTTGTATCTTTCTCCGAGCTGAACATGACAGGAAATATTCTGTCAGCAGTGCTGAAGGATTATCCTGCAAACCTCTTAGCAATAGTGTTGCAGAGCTGCTTCAGGTTCTGCACTTCGACCAAAGACTTTCAAAGAACTATGTTTCAGATTTGAGAGAGATTCAACCTGACAGTTCAATTTCAGAAGCATACAAACCTATTTTAGATGACATTTAGATTTCTCCCTGGTTTGCTGCAGGTACTATACCATTCACTTCTGGAGAAGTGTGTGGTTCATCACAAAACTGCTAAATTTTGCTAAGCTTTCTTTTCCCCTCTCTTCCTAAGCCACCTTTTTTCATTTAAAAACTAAAACCACTTCCTTAAAATTTATAGCATATAACCACTTGAATGTATTTAAAGCCAACTTTAAAAAGCATTTCTTCCACAATCTAAAAGCTCCTCTTAATCCTGATCTATTCCTCCAACCCATCAAATTTTAGTGAAGGAAAAAAATGCAGAACATCTGCAATTAAAGCTTTTTTCCACTTCTAAATTGCCCAGGAAATAAACTCTCTTTGTGATGCTGGGGGTGTGTGTGTGTGAAATAAAATCAATAAGCACCTCCTGGACACCACGCACAGCGTTCTCTGCAAATTGATTCAGAACTAATGAACGCTAATCCTTTCTGCCTATAGCACAATCTTCCTCTCTCCAGCAGCAGGAAGAATAAACTTGAGATTAGCCCTGAAGCATGCCTTAGAAGTTGGTGACTTGAATTATTCTAGACTAGAGACAACAGAGCATTGCAAACCTCAACAGTTCTTACTGAGAATGACCAAGCACTCGCGTATCTTTGGGATGGGGGGCATGAGGCATCAAAATCTCCACTGATCAAGCATCCAATACTTCACTGAACCTATACTGAGCACACTGTCATCCTTTTATTGCAAGCCCCATTAATTACTTCACTCAATATTGACATTTAAAATCATCATCGTTATGGCTTTACTAAAGGCCTTGACCCAAACAGGGGGAGATCAACCCCTGCTTTTGATTAATCATCTCCACTGTAGTAGTTACTGTCTTTAACATTTCCCACTCAAATAATTAGTCTATGTTGTTAATCTTTGTTTAATTCCCTCACTTCCTCCCCTCTTTGAAAGAAAAAAATCAAAGCCTACGTTTTTGTGGACTTTTACTGCAACCATCAGGAAGATCACTAGAAGCCCCAGACCAGTCAAATTGATCCCATCTTCTCTGTTCCTTGGACTTACTGCATTGTGTTTACTCAGTTACCTGACACCACTCTGGTCCAAAGCCATTCTTCCGACTCTCTTTACTTCTCACCTCACCTTTTCCTTCCCAGTTCATACACACCTATGCATGCAAGATGAAATGGCTGTCCTGCTAGGCATAGTTCCAATCTAATTAAAATTTATAGAACTTGCATCTGGCAAGTTCTGTTAAACAATAACCAATATTTTTGTTTGCATTGCATTAAACAGAAAACCTATTTCAAATTTCCCTACATCATTTTTAAAAATAATGTTGGTAGATAAAACATTAAGCAGAATGCTGTTACGTAACACAATGCACCACACAAAAAATGCAAATAACTTCAAATTTAGACACTAAGCTAGAAACTCACTCCTTATAGACAATTACCAGCTACCTGACTATTAAATATGCATTCTTTGTTTACATTTATGTGAAATTCCATTTTTTATTTTTAATGTTATAAATTAGCACATCCTGCAGAGAAGCCAAAATAACTCTTCCTATTTGCCTAACACCCACCATAGAAACACAAATAGGCCAATTCATAAACATTTCTATTTTCTACCTTGAATTCAATCTTCCTGCAATTAACATTCTCCTCTCGTAGGTGCACAACTGCCTACTTTTCTGCTAAAATCAGCAACAGCTCTCTTCTGATACAGAAATGAAAAGAGAAGACTATAAACACAACACACGTTAAAAATTTAGTCGCAATAATAATTAAATATATAATGTTACAAATTGTATATAGTTAATACAGAATTATCTATTACAACAATATTAATATTACAATATGACCTGATGATCAGGTTATTAAGCAAAATAAAATATAAGCCCTAACATATGCTTATATTATCAGTAGAAAGCCATTTGAAAAGCTCTTTAATTACATTAACACACTGCACATTGAGTATTTACAGTATTGACAAACTCCTCAATAGGCAGCTTTCTCAAAAAGAGCTGTAACTGTCAAGATACCCAGTTAAATACTCCCTATTAGCAATATGTACTTCTATCCAAGTCTTGACTTTTCACACTGTTATACTTGGAGCTTGGCAAACTTTTCTGCACAGCAGTGATTTGATTCATATGAAGAGGAGCACTGAATTCACTGGAGTTGCATGAATGAGTTAGGTCCTTAGACATATCATAAGTACAGAGAAGACAAGCATTGACTTTAATACAGAACATGTAACAAGAAAACTCACTTTTTCATCGTGTATTTTTTAAAAAATGAATGCGAGGGTTGTTTTTTGTTTGTTTGTCTTTTCTTTTTAAGTAAAGGGTTGCCTATCCATCTGACGAAGAATGTGTGAGGTGGAAGAAAGTGCTGCCTGGGGACCAGAGGAAGAGCATGCCCCAGAAGAGCATGCAGAGGAGAATGACACAAAGGATCTCCAAATAAAAATGAACTGGCAGCGTGCAAGGTTGCAATACAAATCTCTGTGCTTCTGTGCAAATCATTGGCAATCATCGTCATTGTCTTTCAAAGTATCTTACTTCAGCTGTCAGCTATGTATGTTAAATACACATGCACATGTATATACACACAGAGGTATACATTGCAGTCCTTGAATTTCTTTTGGAGAAGGTGCACTAAATCGAGATTTTCCCCCCATAAAAACCACTCTTCACACATAAATTACAACAGACACTTTAAAAAAGGTTGACAAATTTGTTTCTGAATGGAGGTTATTCATACACATCAAAAATACCAGTAATAAAAGCTTCTACTTAACCTTAATGTCATGTAAAATAACTCTACAAGGAGCAAATAAAGGAACTAAATCTGACAGCAAAGGTTATGAGAGAAAAGATGTAGTTTGAGATCCCACAGCAAACGCCCCATGACATGCCAAAGGCTGAAGGAAATACACAAATGACCCTGCAACACGAGACCTCTTGCCCTTTCCAATTCCACCCGAGAGGCATATGCTACAAAGGGGGAGAGGCCTATTTCAAGCCCTTCCTTCCTTCCTTTTTGAAACCACCATGTCCTGGACCACAACTATGTCCCATACAAGCAGCTAAAATAAGATGTTACTTAAAACAGTCTGGTTTAAAAACATCAAAGGAACTTGCTCTTCTTTCTCAAGGCAAAGCTGGCATTCTTCATGCACCTACAGTAAGCTTACTGTCTCTTTTACTAAACCATACTTTTCTCCCTAACTTTAAATGTCCACAACAGAGATCAAGATAAAGCAGCAAAGTTTAATTCTGCTTCTAACTTTATCTTAAAAATTTTGAATGAAAAGTAGTCTGACAGCTATAATTCTGTATTTTTGTGTTTGTTAATAAAACTAGTAGCATTTCAAATTATTATTTCAAAAAGAAATATCTGACACATCTCTATTTGCCTGATAAGCCTATATACGTTTGTGTGTATGTATGTATATATGTATAAAAATTATTTTTACAAGTATACCAAAATATTAGACTAAATGTTAGATTTAATGTTTAAATATATAAAAGTTTTTAAATCAGTGCTAAATTTGGACCTCTATGTGTATGCACGTGCAAACACACACACACACACCCCCAACCCCTAATCATCAACAGATGCATTGCCTACACCTCTAAGAAGGGTTCTCAGACCCTTTCTGCCTGGCACCCTACATCCTCTTCCTGCCTGCAGCACAAATCGGAAACGTCTTTCTGATGAAACAGGATTCATCCATTCAAAATGCTAAGCACCACGCACATCACATTGATGGGAATAATCCATTTCTTCCTGTATAACTCAGGAATTACAGCTTAAAATCACAGCATCTTTGTCTACTGTAACAGTACTTATGAATCATTTACATAGTGTTAGATGTCTACTTCAACATCAGTTCTCAACTGAGGATGAACAGTTGCCCTACAGCACCTTGCCCTTCACGATGTACTCACATGTGTCAGGCGTGTAAGTTCCTTGGAGAAGCACTGTCCGTATCAGGTATGCACTCTCTGCTTCCCCAGCTGCTGTCAGGATACAGGAAAGCATTGCCAAATCCTCACTCGGTCTCCCCACAACTCAAAGCTAACAGTAGCTGAAAACTCCAAAGGCAGAAATGCAGGCTAATCACTGAATTACAATGAAATGTAATTCAATT